TTGGAAAATTATGCAGATAGACTGACATTAATGTTGTGCAAAAAGCAACGAAATGTTTAGGATGCAGATAGTTGTTGAATTTGTTCTGATTCAATACAGCTTTGAAATAATAAGACCCTGCAAATAACTTTTAATAACATTTTAATGATGTATTATTAAGAATCCACTTATAGATTTAAAACGCGGTCTCATCTGAGATGACGTCACTCATCCTGCCACATTCTACTTGTAGTATTAAAGCAACGGTGTCTCCGCTGTGATCACGTCATTAATCCAGAAGATTGCAATATCTCTCTACAATGCAATGAAGATCAAGTAAGTGTTTTCTATAAAACGGTTTGACAGGAAGTTTAGGAGCTGCAGGGTTCTCCACATCTGAAATTATAACCACAGAGGAAGCGTGTTATTTATGTTAGACTTCTTAATCTTCATAATTAACGATTGGTTTTAAATTACCAATTTTACGAATGCAACACAAAACGCCGAAAAAGACGTCACTTTATACAGCTAAAAAATATAATTAAATTGAATCTTACTTCACAAATGTACCAAAATTTGACCAAAACTAGTAACCGTTTGAAGGATCTAAAAGAAAAAATATTGATTCAGTAGCCATGGAAATATTCAGAAACTAACTATTATAAGAATTGTTGTAGCCTGTTTTATGAAACGTTTTGTTTAAATATGACTGAAACTAATGAATACCAATAAATAATTTGTTGATTGCAGGTGTACAACTTGTTTTAAAAATATAAATTAGGACCTATATTAAATATTCCTAGCAATATCTTAATGGAAAATATTCTCGAGTAAAAGTATGTGAGGCTAAAGTTTCAAGATATTGAATTTAATACATCTGCAGATTTGCAGAATTATCTGCTAGATATCCTTCCACCACAAGAAATAATCCCTCGTACATCTTGCCTCTTTGTAGCTTTTTGGGCAGTTTTTTAGTTGAATGTTAAAACTTTAACATTGTTGAAATTAAATATATATCGTATAAAAATGGAGTTTTAATAAATAGCTTTGAATTAAGAGGTTCTGCGTGAACTTTTCTAAAAGCTGACGAGTGACATATCTTAATTTGGCTTCTGTAGTTTCTTTTAAATTTGACATAAACAGTAAGAATCTACATGTCAAACAATTCAAACAAATACAATTGAAAGCATTATTTCTCACCTTTTTAAATGCATATTTGGAAATGCATTGACATCACAAACTACAAAGTTTATTCATGGATGTTGCCAAAAATATAAGTATGCGCCTGGATCGAAAGATCCAAGGCGTATATTGTTTTTGTCTGTCTGTCTGTCTGTCTGTTTGTCTGTTTATCTGTTTGTCTGTTTGTCTGCAAACTTTAATCTTCGCTATAACTTTTGAATCCTGAACGGTTGAGACTTCATATTTGGTACGCATACTTCACTAAGTAAGTTCTTTCAAATGACACCAAGGTCAATGACCTTGTGACCTTGCCTGTGACCTATATGCTAAAAATAGTTTTTTCTGCAAACTTTAACCTTCGCTATAACTTTTGAACCATAAGGTATGCATACCCCACTAATTAAGTTCTTTCAAATGACACCACGGTCAATGACCTTGTGACTTTGACTGTGTCCTATATGCTAAAAATAGCTTTTTTGAACATTCATCATAAGTTTTGAACCATAAAAGATAGAGACTTCATATTTGGTATGGATACTCCACTAATAAAACTCTTTCAAATGACACCAAGGTCAATGACCTTGTGGCCTTGACTGTGTCCTATAAGCTAAAAAAAACCTTAAAAACAATCATCATAACTTTTGGACAATGAAAGATAGAGACTTCACATTTGGTATGCATACTGCACTATATAAGATCTTTCAAATGACACCAAGATCATTGAACTTGTGACCTTGACTGTGACCTATATGCTAAAAATATGTTTTTCAACTTTGTTGCCGCCGGGCGCATAGTGTTTCACAAACACATCTTATTATATTCTACAGAAGGAACTGCTATTTTACATTTGTCCTGTCGTTTTCTTTAAAGATTTGCTATACAGAACACATTTACCTTAACCAGGAAAAAAGATTCAGAATGGGCTGTACACCAAAGTCAGTAAGTACATAAGAACCTGAGAATTACAATATTTTATAGATGCCTTTATTTGCTATTCTTATTTTTCCCCCCAATAATGAACTTGTAAAAGTGTTAATGTATGAAAAGTACACAGCGCTGAACCTTTAGTATAGTAAAGCAAATCTTTTGAAAGTCTCGCGTCCCGTCAGTTCATGGGTGTGTTTTTTACAGTATCTGCACTGTTTACAAATGTGTTATATATAGAACATCAGTATTACAGATCGTCGTAAGTACTGCAAGCGTTAAACATTGTATTTGGCATACTGGTCCATAATATTGTTTCAATGGTATCCAATTTTACCCCATTATTGCATAATTATGAATGCAAAAACAATTGTAATTTAAGCTGAATTATTTAAAACTATATTTCTGATGTTTTGATACTTTACAGAGTATTCAGTAACTCTCTATTTCCATTTTAATTTTCTTTTTCATATTCAATCTTATAACAAAATGCTGTTCTACTGTTAATCACTCTTCTGTGATAATATTATTAGAACTAAATTAATTTTCAACAGTATTATACAAGTGACATGTTTCTGTACCGAAACCTTGATATTTAACATTATTTTAGATTTCTTAATCAGTGATTTTTATTTGAGTGTAATTGAATGAACTGTGATTGTTCAAGTTTGTTACATTCATTGTACATGTAAATACAGAGATTGTAATTAAACGTAGGATACTCTGTGTATATACGTACAGGGATATGTCATTAAAAGTACCACAGATTCCTTAATATGTGTAGAAATTTATTATCACATTTTTTGGCGAGAGGCACCACCGGAAAAATTTCGTTTTATTTGTGCTGAAATATATGTAAAAATCTCTTGAATAACCGTCAATTCCAGACTAGCTACCCAGTTTACGTCACGGGTCATTAAGCTAATAATTATACACGAAATCTAAGGAATCTGAAGTACTGAATATTGAATTACAGGGATGTCTTGCCACCACTTCCTCGGGAGCTCAGGTGGGAATTCTTGGAAAGCGAGACAATGAGGTATCGTTCTTACACCGCTGTAGAATGGCGTCACGTGCAGACCGTAAATATTGCGCCAAATGCTGTACTGGTGAAAACTGTAATCGTGACCTCTGTACTGAAAGACACCGTAAGATATGCAACATGTAATAATACTTTATAACCTGAGGCTAACTTAAATGGCAATTAGGTGATATAATAGATTTTTTTTGTATTATTTCAACTTTTACTCACTTGATGGTAAATTGATTATAGACATTCTCATATTTGCTTACCAACATTAAAGGTACTTGGACACAGATTTAATTTAAAGTAAATATTTTCTCTATAATATCACGACGAATTATATATTTCTATAGCATTTCACACAAAAATTAATTTAAAATCTTATTTAAATTAAAAGTTATCAAAAATTTTGGGCGGGTTTGATTGACACATCTTTGCAATTACACCAATTTTAACTTTATTCTTAATCCTTAGGAAAAGTAGCAATCTTGTTGTTTATTAATGAGAAATATCAAAACTTTAATTCAGAAAAATAATTTTATTCAGAGTAAAAATGTTAGAAAGCAAAACTCCTTCACAAGTTTCATTATTCCATTGTGTACAGAGTTTTGCAAATCGATCAAACTCGTGTTATGTGCACAGTTTTTGTAAATGGGGCACGAGCTCTGTTATTGTTGATGTTTATGATTCACCGGGTGCGTTCAATCGTCAGTCTGCTCACCAAAACTGCACGGACTGAGAATATATTGTTTGTTTGTTTTACTTTAGAACATGTCTACTCTGAATTTTATGGATTATAGTATAAATATTTTTTTCATTTATACACAACAAAATTGCCAACTTTTAGTGTTAAGAGTTAAATTTAAATTTGTGAAAGTGCAAGGATGTGTCAATCAAAACGGCCAAAAAATTAAAAGTTTTATTAACTTTAAAATATAAGATTTTTGATAAATTTTTGTTTGAAATGCTACTAAAATATATAGGTCCTAATATTATAGAGAAAATATTAATTTCAAATCTGTGTCCAAGTACTTTTAACGGTAGTTCAGTCGGTAGAACGCTCACTCTATGATGGAAAGGTGCATTTGACTTTATTGTGGGTTCTTCCTGCTTAAAACCCGAGGCACCGTTTCGCAGATCACATTAGAATGATAAGAGTATTCACGGTTCAATATCACTGAGTGCCGAGTAAAATTCGTAATCTGTAGTCCTTCTGTAACCATTCGTTGTAATACATGTATATGACGTTTCTACATGAGTGAAACACTTTCGATTGGGTCGTAAAACAGCAAGCAATCAATTCTGCAATCAGAATCGCTACCCTATTTAAGTGTCAATCATGTGAGCAATTAACATCCTGATAGGTCGTTTTACAGCTTTGGTTTACAGAAGAAAAGTTAAACTTGGGGTGTTTTCTTAAAGATGAATAATTCATAACTTAACTTTATATCTGTGGAGTAAAACTCTGTAATTTACTTTTTTTTGTATAAATTAAGCCGCATATTGATTTAATCTTTATGGAATCTTATATTAAACATGCACAGCGAATAATATACTAGTATATGAAAGTATATCAAAATGTTGAACTAAAGTAAGTATTTCATATAAATTGCGCGCAACGTCTTTTAACGGTCAAATACAAAAAATATACCACCGCTCTCAGTTGCATTGAATTCGTAGTAATGATTCTTATACTGTAAATCTGGAAATTTTACGTCGATTTTATTTTGCGAATTCGGGTCAAAATGCTGTTGATTAGTTTTTACGTTTCAAAATTTGGCGAATGACCACTGCTTTGATTACATTGTCTTATTGATAATTTATTTCTATGAAAAATATTTTTGCGAATGCAATGAACTCGCAAATTTGCTAAAAATTTACGGTATGTTACATTCTTTTTGAATGAGCAATATCTGCATCAAAAACTGCCGTAGATGATTTGATTATCGTATATAATTTAGTAAAGGAAAGTTTTATACTCTTAAAAAAGATCACCATTGCAATACACGTATTTCAAAAATGTATATAGCTTACCCGACATGTCAATTTGATGTTGTGCTTTATGTTTCCATTGTCTCAAAACCCTGTTCAATACGACTCTGTATACAAAAATGTCTAAAAATAACCCTGAACAACAACTCAAATTCTGGCTGTTTTACCTACATTTTCCATTTCTTTAATCTGCATTTAAAATATCATTTTGCATATAGGAAAAAATGTAATGCCTATTTATTGATTCGTATGGTAGTGGAATTAAGGAATCATGGAATATATCATTTTTAGCCATAACCCCCCCCCCCCCCCCCCCAAAAAAAAATGAGAAACTTATTTACCTTTTTGATTATAATTTTTTTTCAAATAAATCAATCTTTTAAAAAGAAAATGGAGCATGATATATGCATGTACACGTTTGTCTCTTAAAGAGTTTTTTTTTTTTAAATTATTTTTACGATTTTGTTTCCACTCTTTTCGAGTTGTCTTAGAGCAAATGGACTCTACTTCTCTTTGACCTATATCTAAAAAAATTATAAATGCACTTTTGATGATTATTAAATGCAGGAACCCTTCCATTTCTTTCTTTTTTCAATTTAATACACATGTTTACCCTCCATGCAAAATAAGGTTTAGACAATTTTTACATTTTAACAAGCAATTTATTTCATGTAAAATCTTTCAAGTATTTTTGAGCTGCATCTTTTAAAACGCCTCTAAAATACGTTTTAATCTCTGCAGTTGTTAACCAGTATCCATTGGTGGTTCCGCCACCATTGGTCATTTGTCAAGACTATGACGATACGTCCTGCAGGAGTGGTTTGGTGGATCCTACTTTCTGCCTTGATCTAGTAAACAGAAGGTTGTTTTGTCCAAGGACATGTCATACATGTGGTACGTATAGGCATTTTATCGATAGGGCGAAGTGCTTTACAAGGAACTGTCAATTCATTTCATGAACTGTACAAATCAGATCAGAGAAATATTTGAATTTATTTTAAATTTATTTTGTAAACTTGTTTTTTCCATTTATCTGATAGGTTTATGTCATTTTCAGATTATTCTAAAGTAAATCATGCTCTCTTTATTGAATTTTATGGGTGTCACTTTATATATAAAACTACGAATTTTTACTATTTTCATATATTTCAAAAATTACATTTCCCTATTCTCCAGATATGGAGATAACTAACAGTATTCAATATCAAAGTCCTTAAAACATTACAAAAAACAGGAGCAGAGCAAAGGACTTTGATATTGAATACTGTTAGTTATCTCCATATCCCTCATTCGTAAATTTATGGTCGATACAATGACCTTGTCAGCAAATACAATTTATCATTGAGTCAAATGCTGAGTGACGTTTTTCATATATACTAGTTGTTAGTCCATTATTTATAAAGTGAATTGAAGACATATATCTGTTATTTCCCGATTATGACTAGAAGCACACGGCGGTGTGACCGGTAATCAAGGGATGCTCACTCCTCAATGGCACCTGATCCCATTTCTGATTTTTCTGAGGTCCGTGTTTGTTCTGCTCCTATTTTGTATTGTTTTATGGACTTCGATATTGCATACTGTTCATTATCTCGGTATCCTTCATTGTATAAATTCTTTTTAGGTGAGAGCGGAATGCTTCAGCCTGTTACAACAGCAATTAGCACTACAGGTATTGGTTTGTTGATTTCTTCTTAACAAAAGCTAACAATTACAATTGCAAGTATTTCTTCATGTGAAATAAAAAGGGTAAGTAGGCTTTAATTTGGCTTTATCCCCTGGTTTCCTAGAAACTGCAGTCACGTGTAAGGGTTGGCAAGATAAATATCCCCTGTTTGGGTTGGAAAGTTTAATTTCCCGTGCCACTTTCTATGTGTTGCATGATGAAAATTTATCATTTGTTCATATCACTCCCTGTCCCAAAAGGGGATATAGTCTCATCATTCTGCAAAGACATTTTTGAATTTATTTGGAAGGCAAAGTGTGATAAAATTAAACCTGCAGTTTTAACTCAAGATAATTAGTATGGGGACTAACAAGAATCACATGGGCCACATCACTCACCTGAGTAACTTTGACCATACTGCTCTTTACCAATTCCTCCTTGTAATACATATTGTGACCCAACCCTACCACATGGGTCATAATTTGGATAATTTAAATTCTAGTACTACACACGGATGCTTCCATTCAAGTTTCAGCTTTTCTGGTCCAGTGGTTCTTAAGAAGATTTTTTAAAAAGTTTTTTTCCATAATTTTTCTATGTAAAACTTCAATTCCCTATTGTGGCCCCATATTCAGAAATTTCGGAAGATGATCTGAATGGTTAAGATGGGGATCATCTATTATTCCACACGAGTCAATAAAATCTTCCTTGTTCTTTTGGATAATAGCGTGATCTTTCATGGATGTCTAGTTCTATTGGTGCATTAGATGTGTAATCAGGACCATGCCACTTATGCTGACTTGTTACATATATTAAATCTCGTTCGACCATGAAAGATTCAATAATAATACCTCTATTATTATCATGGTAATGCTTTAGACTCCATGTACAAAAAACGACAAAAATGCTTATTTTTCCTGCTATTTCGAGGTGCTTTACAACAAAAAGATTGTATTTTACTAGTATATATGCTTAATTTTATATGTATGATATATTTTTTGAAAAATCAAGAAACATTTATTCACATCAAATAATATTTCAAAATATGGTGATGATTTATTGCCCGATTTTAGAGGGAAATATCGTCTACCCCACTTATTTCATGAGCTGGAATTTGGGATATAATGCAATTTAGCACTGATATGAAAATAATTAATCAATTACCATTGAACTGTTCTTTATATTTAGCAATGACTTTATCTCCAAATTGTCATCAATATTGAATTAAATGGTTATAAAATGTGGGCGGAATTTAGAGTTAGCGTGCGTAGTTCTTACTTCTTTTCACGAAAAACGAAAACTTGTTTAAAAATCTCTACAGAAATAATCTTATTTAAGTTTACTTCTATTTTAGCTGGAGGTGGAATTTCTTATCTTGTAACAGGAACAACTACCACAGCAGGTATTGCTTTTGTCTAAATATACGCTACACAGTTAAGGATACACTATGGAGGCGTGGCAAAATTTATGCGGAAAATGTTTTCTATGACGTCACATAATTTATTAGTTCTTCAAATTACTACAAAATTAAATCATTTCTTCTTAACACTGTTAAATAGTTCTGCACTGCATCAAACCTTACTTTTAAATGCATGTCGTTACTAAAACCCAAACAGCCAGATATAAACAAATTACTGATCGCAATGCAGTTTTGAATTCTTCATCATAAAGAAAACGTTAATGCAGTTTGTAGGCAATAAAAGCCGAATAAGTTACATTTTATACAATGAAAGATGCATTATGTCGTTAAATCAAATATTATTAACAGATATATAAACGGTTATTATTCTTGGATCATGATGGATGCATAGATTTGTTCGTATACAGATTTATTGGAAAGTTAAAAAAACGTCTCCACCAAAAAAATGATATATTACAAGATAATTGAAAAGTGCTGAACATGATGAAATCTTGCAAATGAATATTAATCATTTATATCATAAAGAAAACGTTAATGCAGTTTGTAGGCAATAAAAGCTGAAAAAGTTACATTTTATACAACGAAAGATGTATTATGTCGTGAAATCAAATATTATTAACAGATATATAAACGGTTATTATTCTTGGATGATGGATGCATAGATTTGTATACAGATTCATTGGAAAGTTAAAAAAACGTCTACCCCCCCCCCCCCCCCCAAAAAAAAAATGATACATTACAAGATATTTGAAAAGTGCTGAACATCTTGCAAATGAATATTAATCTTTTATATATTCGAGGTTAATAATATATTAATATATATCAATTGTCTATGATATTTTAATTGCCATTGTGGCAGGGTGTGTAGATAAAAACCACAATCATTGCCAGCAATATAAGAACTTTTTCTGTGATTCTTCAAACCCTGGTGGAATAGATGTGTGTCCAATGACCTGTAAAAAACCTGGATGTTCATCAGGCCAGCAGATTTAAAAACAAAACGATGCCTGTTTTAAGCAAATTATGATTTTTTTTTTAAAGTCTTCTTAAAGGGATAATGAAAGAAGAAAAACTTTCTAAAAGATATTTATATACACTATACATTTACTTCTACTTCACCAGGAGGTGGAATCTCTCTCCACGTAACAACACCGACTACATCAACAGGTATTGCTTCACTGAAATACAGGCCAATATCTCCTTCTTAAAACAGCAATTAAAATAACATGTTTTTTTCAACAAGCATATTTGATCTGCTCTATCATGGGTGAAAAAATTGAGACTTGGACGTTAACAACACACTATCAATCTTTCATTCAAACAGGTGCCAATATGTGTTGGTTTCTACCAGAACCACTACATTAAGTAGATGTCCTAGTTATAACGTATTAATTTTATTTAAAGAAAGCTCAATGCCTATAGGTGCATGCACTTAAAATTATGACACCTACGATGAAATATTCATTTGAGATTAAGCTAAACTAATAAAAATATCCATTGGTTAAGATGGTATGTTTGTATGCTTTTGTAGTAGCGTGTTTGGAGAAAAATCCAGGCCGGTGTCAGCAATATAAGGCCTTTTTCTGTGATCCATCAAATCATGGTGGAATGGACGCCTGTCCAGTGACCTGTAAAGCACCTGGTTGCTCATCAGGTAATCAGATTGCCAAAAGACAAACGAAAAAAAAGGGAAGATTAACCCTTTTGTTGCAAAATAAATGATAACTTTTTGCATGCCATGTTAAATGTTATAATAAAACTAATCTAGTAGATCATATTACGGGTTCAAAACAGGGAGATTCAAATTCACACGTTTTCTTTGGTCAGAAGAGTATGTAACAGTCATGAGCAGTGTATTTTTTATATATAATCACATGACCATGACATGACACATGGATGTAATTTATACAGACATATGGGTAATTATTATGATTATGTCTACAATATATAAATAAATGATGCTTTTAGATTGTTTTTGAAATAGCAGATTTTGAAAATCTTTTCATCACATCATGATATTCTTTTTTTACAGGATAGTTGAATTGATATTACTTGTCACTATAAGTGAAAATAAAACATATTTGTAAAGAATTAACAATATTTTGTTTTTTATCAATATTTTTGCCCTCTGTTTTAAATAATGCTGAAGGTTCGTCCGCAAAAAACATAATAAAAGTTAAATATGCTATATGAAGAATGGCTCCCTTGGAGAAAACAAAACAAATGAGATATTGCAAAATTCAATTACATTGTAAATTGCTTATATGAGTTAATAAAAACTTGACGTCTATCCCCCTTTTTGAATTTTACAATACTTTTGAGTATGATTATAAATCATTATGTGCTACCTCAATCTTTAAAGAAACATCGTCCATGCAATTAACATTGTGGCTGGGTTTTTTTAACCCCTTTATTGGTGACAGGCAGCAGCAATTTTGTATCTTTTTTAATCCTATGATGTTCTAAAGGGTCAGCTTGAAATACATGAATATTGTACCTTGTGAAAGATTACAGGGTTTGAATTCGTATCTTAGTCTGTTGATGTCCCCCTTTTTTCTATGTAAATCATGTTACAATGTCATTATTGTGCAGAAGGTCAGATTGTGCAATATTTTGACTAAGATGTGTAATACTTTATATATGAGTTCCCTTTTTCTGAGACCCATTTTGAAAATGTTTTACTTCTTTCGTCTATTACTTTGATAAATGATATACTAGTATTTCACTTCTACACGCTGTTATTTGTTTTTGTCTGCTTTTAACAAAAAAAAAAAAAAACTCAGTCGATTGGCAGTAGAACTAAAGAGCATAAAGAACATCACTGAAGGATAGTGGGCATTAAACTGATATCAGATCATATATTTATAGACCTTTAAAAAAAATCCTGTATATTTCGGATTAATAAAATTATTAATCTATACTTTCTTAATGTTTTTCAATATTGTAAGACATTACCTGAAACATGAAGAATCTACTTCCAAAATAAGAAAATCCTGATTGCATACACATTCATTTATCCCTTTGTCACAAGCCTGTTAATTACAAAAATTAATAAAACAGGTACAGCGTAGTATGCTTAAAATATGCAAACATTTTCTTACTTAATATGCAGTATCATACCTTCATCATTTGCATATAGATTTTATATATCTCAGATGATTCGATACGTAAGAGCATGCACTATACATGAACAATTTCTTAGACGAGGTAAATTATTGACTAACAAGTTGATGAAACAAGAATATCAGCGGTCTCGTTTAAAGTCATCATTTTGTAAGTTCTATAGTCGATACATTTGTACAATGACCTTGTCATCAAATACAATTTATCATGGAGTCAAATGCTGACGGACGTTTTTCATACTAATTGTTAGTCCATTATTTATGCATTGAATTGACGACGGTTTTTTCTGTTAATTCCCGATCGTGACAAGCTAGGAGCACACGCTTCAGTTTTTTATTTATTTTGTATGCCTGATGCACGTGGACAGTACCCATTAGATAATCGTTTGTTTTATCAACAAGTATGTTTTATCAATAACACTTCCGGTTTTAACACAACTTTTCGTTTCAAGATGTAAATTTTTCATAACTCTTATGTTAATGTTCTTGTCTTGTCAGATAAATGCTAGTTAGCTAAAATATTTGTTAAAAACAAAGAAGACTCGTTTCAATTAACCTAAATATCTTTTTTACTACTGCCATAACACCCCCGACCCCCCACCACCTCGTTCTCATATGAAACTAAGCCTTAATTACGTTTCACATCTGAAAACCGAATCGGATCTGGTTCTATTGAAGAGTAACAATCCCAACGAGAATGGGCAAAAGGACGATATTGGCCATGGGTCACTAAACAAAATGGAGTGCCGCTATTTTACAAAAATGTTCTATTCAAATTATCGACCGCAGCCATTAATTGACACTGTAAGTAAGGATTGATTTCCGGACCTTTGTCAGCAAATAGAATTTACTATATATCAATAAAGTTTATTTATATAACCACTAGTATTTAGTAAAACAACTAAACCAATAACACTGTCTACTTATCAAAAATAATATTTATAAACAGTATCAAATTACTAAAACCAAGGGGTCAAATATATTTCTAAAAATCCAAATAAGATCTAAAGATAACAAAACAGTGTACTCTTCAGAAATATCTTTAAACAACATAAAAAAACCTAAGAGATCAACATCAAATATATTAAAAATAAATATGAATAAAATATCTTATGAAAAAATACGTAAAAACAAAGAGAAGAAATCAAAAGCAAGTCAACGCCGACATAATACAACAGAAAACGCGCTTGAGCAAAATATCATGTTTAAAGCAGAGATTCAAAAGTATATGAAATACAAGTGAACAAAGAAAACAAATTCAAGATTTTCTTACAATTTAAGTAAAGATGGAAGGGTTTTCCAAAAAGTTCATAGACATGACATTCTTGTCAAAATGAATGGTTTTAAGTTTTACTAGTTATAACCCAAACTACAAGGTATAAAAAATCAAAGTTGGAAAAGTTTGGGTTTAATAGTTTGAAATTAATACATTTATTAAAATCGCAGTCATATTTTCGACGATAATGTGCATGGCCCAATCTTATTTTTTATATACATATTTACTAAATCAAGGTCCACGAGATATTATCGTACACGTTTGTAATCGCGGATGTTATCAAGAAAATTTGGCATTTGCCCAATTATGAATTTTTTCGACAAAGCTAGTATACATTTTTTTATGATCTGTTGATTTTGTAAAACATTATAAATTAAAGTGGACCGATTGTGGTTTTTATTGCGCAATATTTCGCGCTTTAGAGTAAAAATAAAGCACTTTTACGGTTTTCAAGCAAATTTTTTTCGCTTAATTAATAAAATTAAACAAAATTAAGAAATTACAGGTCCAAAATATAATTACAATTTTATATAACTATTTTTTAACCGATTTTGCTATTGATAGGTAGGTTGACGACGTAACAGTGTCTTTTTGACGTTATAATAAACTGAAACTCTCAAAGAAAGGGGTTATAAAAATGTTATTAAAGAAAAAGTAATAAACGTACGCTCTTGAAACTTAAATCATGAAAATTTGAGAATGTTTCTATTATTTCTATTATGTTTCGCAATAAATCCTCTGTGTCCATCATATCAAGCAGTACTCTAAAAAAGAAAAGAAGAAAACAGGAAAATTCGTTAATTCTTGGCATTTTGAGATGCCCCGTATGGAAGCAAGATGGTAAAATTTTGTATTTCTTAAAAATATAATGTACAATATAGTATTTTTCATTAAATATAATAGATTAAACAAATGTCTATTGAAGTATTGGTATAATTTGATTTTAAGTGCCAAAATTGGCATTTTCCTATATATAATCCTATTAATAGTAAATGTTCCTATACTTTGAGACAGTCCCTTAAAATACCTGGACGGTATATTTTCCCCAAACTTGGCATGTACACTGAAGTTAATATAAGTTGTATATGGTATAAAAATTAAAAGTTTCGCTTTTGTAGTTTTCAAACAATAAAGCCCCAGCCGTCCCCCTTAAGCACACATTTGAGACTCTCTGTTTCAAGTTCTCTTATACTGTTAATCTAATAGTTTCAATTCTAAATTCTTTTAAGGAAAATGACGAGGGGGGGGGGGTCTGAAGTGTTCGTTAAAACACTGTGTTTTTAACCTTTCAAGTTTCTTCAAATTAAACGTCTCCTTTCTGCGTCCATTTCTGAGGGTGTTGTTTGTATGTTGGACACTTCCTGGTAAAATAGGTGTCTGAAAAAAGGAAAACTAACCATGGGTCACAAAACTCGTCTGATTAACTTGTCGGCCGATTTTCCCCAATATATCCTTGTGAAAATAAAGATGTATTCTTGCCTGCAACAATATGTTTTTTTAACAATAAACCCTGAATCCACAATATTTGGAATGCTTCTTTTAAAAAAGGAATATAATATTCTTGGCCCAATCGTATCCCCGGGGATAATGTGTATAATTTGAACAAACTTGAATCATCACTATCCCCAGAAAGCTCTAAATTTCGTCATTACTGGTCCAGATGTTCTCGAGAAAAAATAATAATAACCCCACTTAATACTAAAATTCCTTTTTGATATACCCTTTGGTAGAGAACTTGGCCCTTCATTTGCGCTGATCTAAATTTCCTTAACCCAGGGACAACCTGGGCAAATTTTGCTTGGAATTGGCACAGTGGGTCTGGAAAGAATGACGATGTGAAAAACTCACAACGACGACAATGAACGATCTTCGATCAGAAAAGCTCATTCAACGTTCAGCTCAGGTAAGCTAAAAATTGTAATTTGTATTGAAAATACCAATTAAAAGCAGTCCTACAGTGAATTAAACACAAACAAGGATTAGGCTTTTTGAAAACATAAATATTTTCAGACTATCACAATTCAATTTCATATTCAGGGAACATGTGCTTTAAATAATATCTTTATCGTTTAGAATAAAACATCCTTTATTTACCCTATATATGTGATTTAAGGCTTTTAATCTATAAGACAAGAAGAAAATTACCTTGTTAACATCTTTACGTTTTGGAAAACACATGCAACCGATTTCTTTCGAAGCCGACTACAAAAACAACAGACATCCATTGTTAATTGTTTTCAATATCAATTTCTTTTTGACATTATACCTTAATACATGGTCATTATAGACATGCACTTCACACAGCAGGAAAAGCTTTGCAAGTGTCAAGAATGAATCATTTCATGAAACAGATTTCGAAACGAACATTTTCTTTCTGACGAAAAATTACAAACCTTTCTCCAAAACTTGAGAAGTTCTTTCCTGTGAATCTTGTGATTTTCTTTAGCGTGTTTACTACAACAGACTGTGTCCTTTTTTAGTTGAAGAAGCTCATGTTCAGATATGAAGAAATGTTCAACATCTGCGCAGAATTCTTTTTCTTGACAGAAATATCCAATATCATATTCCACTTGTTTGTGAAATGTGGCCGTTAGAGATTTCATCATGCTCTCAATGTCTTGGCGTATTTTTAGAGTAATATTAACATCAAGGTTACCCTCACGGCAAACAACTTGAAGCTGGATGGATGGCTTACAAACACCAAGAACGAGAACATGATCCTCATCTTCGTTTTTAAGAAAAACTGCATCTTTGCAAACTAAAGGTACATCATCGTGAACCAGAGCATGCCACCTTGTCATACAATGGACAACAAGTCGATAGTAAAAGAAATGAGGCAAGAATGTCTTGAATCGGAAAACCAAAGTGGACGTTTTGTTTGTGCAATTGCTTAGAATCTTGTCATAGGTATCGGATCTACTCTCCTTGTTCATACAAGGTACATAGTGGTATATTTGTCTTGGTTTCTCTTCAGCTTCTTGTTTTACGCATAAGGGCGGTCGGTAAAGTGATTCGTTGCGTTCTTCTCTCCCAATCACTATAAGACCCAGCCTTTGCATAAATTGTAGGATGGAATTTTTGTGTTCAGCAAAGCATTTGTAGTTGAAGTTTGACCACATATCATCCAGAAGCTGATCACCCAACTGGCCTGTCTGGTTGAAGAGCATCCAGTCGCCGACGGTTGGAGATGCCTCTTTAACTTGTGTTGGGTCGGTAATTATGTTCTTAAAAGCATCAACAAACCACTGAACATCAACAATAACCATTTTATTTAACCCTTCTTCATTGAAAAAAAGTATCGTTCCAATCTCGTGAAAGAAAGACAGCATGATGCGCAAGTCTTCATCTTTTTCAGGAAGTTCGATTCTAATGTTTTGTTTTAGTTCTTCAATGCTCATCATCTTTTTTTCTGTTTTCATTTCTGACAGAGATATTTCAAACATAGCCCACTTGGCAGGAACTCTTTCTCCCCAGCGTGTTTGTTGAGCAGCAACTTCTACAATGGCTTTCTCTATCTTTTTTGTTTCAATTTCTTCCAGAGGCGGAAGTTGAATCTCAAAGTATCGCTTCTGTGAGAGGTGTCGTTTTAATTCAGAGTCTCTTGGTAAGCATTCCATTAATTCGTCATAAAAACATTTTGTCTTCCCCTGAAAAGAGCAATGAAGAATAAAAATTACAAACAGTAATCATAATGAAAGTGCAATCAAACAATACTAAAACGAGCACGCTCGAATTTTTGAGGACTAGGATAAGGGGTAATTGATTTTCATATGTTATTATTAAGTGTTACTAGTCCATCAAACTTCTTGATTCACTTCTTTAGGTAGCCACAACCCATTTATTACGTGAAAATGTTATTGTTTGATCTGATATTTTTTGCAATAACTCATCATTATAATTTGCGAAAAGTACGATGCAAAATTTGAAATTTGAAATTTTGTCGCTCAGAAATTATAAGAAGGGTTTTATTAAAAGACAGAAAATACACTAGTGAGATGTTTGATGCAGATGATTGATCTCATTATATTTCTTGTTCTTACATCTTGTACTTCTTCACTGACTTTATCTTTGTGCGTTGCAACCAATACTACAGGCGTTGTATCATCACAGTAAGTGCTTATAGACTGCATCCAGTAAAGGAAGTATTCTAAAAATAATTCAGCGTTTTTAATTTTTCTGTTTGCTTTTAGAAAACCTACACAAAACAATATACACACTCAAAATCTGTTAGTCTTGTACGGTTATGAACACATTTATAAGTTTCTATAATCTTTTATCACCACTGTATCTTTATGGAATTTATAAGATGTATGCCAAATGAATGAAATAAATTGCACTTAATTTTCAGTTTCCTTAATCTAATGTCACCAAATAAATACAACGTATTTTTATGAATAGAAATAGTCTTAACCTTTGTAGGTCCAATCTTCATATATGGACCCATTTGCGTCCAATCGAGTGGAGTCAACCTTTTCTTCCAAACTTTTTGACATGTCTATCACAAGAATATAGAAAGCTCGTCTTGTCAGGTAGACTTGATGACAGGCATAATAAGAACACTGACCGCCAAAGTCAGTTACACTGATCAGCTTTTCTCTTTTCTTTATGTGTCTTTCAACATCGCAAGACATTCCCTGTGGTACTTCTATAGAATTAATTAACCGTGTTACTTTCTTTACAATACATGCCTACACAACAGTTCGTTTCGATGAGGTATATGATACTAGTAAGTAGTAACATGATAAAAAAAAATCAGAGTTAATGTAAAACATGTAAAAGAGTAGAAAATGTCTTAAAACAGTGCTAGCATAAAACAGAATATACAGTCTATAAAATCAAGGAAATATGAGCATCATTTTGGAGGTAATGGTCGACCATTGAGTGTTTCACGTAAAAAAAATTATAGATTAAAGTATATTTCAACCTTTCAGCAATTTCTGGTCTTCATTGTCCTCAATTTGGAACAGATTATGATGAACTTCGAGCCCTACAGTTGACTCAGTGGTGTATAAGTCCTCTAATGTCCATTTGGATTGAAGCCTTCTTAGGAAGGTGGTTTTACCTGCCCCCACACACCCAACGATCATCGCTCTTCCCCTGAACATTTCAATGCTTTCTTCACGTATGCTTTTCAAGAACTTCAGGCGCTGGTCATATTCCCATCTTAGAATTTCCTCAGGGATTTTCACTAAAAATGAACAATCAAAGCTAACAATTTTTAGATTGAAGGAAAAAGGGGAAGATACTAAGTAACGAATAGAAATTGATCTCAAAAACATGACATTTTTCATTTCTTAAATACTTTGTTCATAGAAAGTTTTATGTGATGCTTACCGATTTTGTACTATTTTTTCATAGGTTGTATCCGCTAAATATACTTACATATTCGGCTCACTAATGGATGAATATTGGTATCTGTAATAGTGGGATGTGGGATGATACCCAAGTCTAGTTTTACAATGAGTTTCTCAGTGAAAATGCTAGGGAGACAAATACACCATTCTTCTTGAGAACCAAGATACCCAGATGTCCTGAAATACTTTGCGATCAAGGCAACTGGTGCCTTGTCCAGAAGGAAATGAACGTTTTTCTGCACAAGATAACCGTGTTGAATATAAGCCCAGAGAGTCTGTTTCTCAACATCATCTGAAGTAAATGTTAATTTGGTCCCCGTACAAATCATGCTATCATATATGGAGCAGTCAGATCTTATATCATCTGGAATAGGTTCTGCGTCTGGTCCCTTGGAGAATGCGTACAAGTCCTTCAGGATCTCCAACTGATCTTTGTTTTCCAGATCCACGGAGCCTCCTTCGCAGAAGAGAAGCCAGAAATGGAGGTACCTTTTGATGGAGTTGAAATCTATTCTGCTAAACAAATCTGTAAGATAGTGTTGAGGCATTAGCTATAGAGCATACTAAAACTTTTGGTCTACTTCGTTTGCAAGTCTTTAGTTATATAGTACGTAGTTCACAGTTCCTTAAATTGATAAATACACTAGAGAGTTTATTGAGAAGAGAAAAAGTAAATGCTCTCGGTTAATTATAAGTAAAGGATCACCATATTCGTGTCGTTCTTCTTGACCCTTAACGTGAGTACAATCCTGAGTTTCGACATGGGGTTCTGGGATCATGACGATATAGAGGTCAAGGTCACTAGTCTCAGATTCAGAAGTTGTGTCTGGTTTCAAATACGGCCAATCCCAATGGTTTGATAATGGTTCCCCAACATTCACTGCAGAAGGACTTTTGAGGCGTACAGGAGTTATTCCTAAATAACAAAAATATACTGTAAATTCAGATATTTTCGTGGGGTCAAATTTTCTAGGTTTGAGGAAAAAATATTGGCTTGTGGAGATTTGATTTCGTGGTTGGAGATTGTTTTGCAGAAATGCATAGGGAATTTTACATTTTGTAGTGGTCATAAAACAACAAAAATTAGCCATGGTCTTTGTTATATAACGCTTTCAAGTACAAATATACGCGTTAATGAAATTTTCGAGAGCAGACAGACTCGGATAACTAATTGCAAAATAACAGTTCTCGCAAAAAAGGAATGTGCTTTAAAAATAGCTATAAAAGGCAATAATCTACCACATCAGTTTCTTATTTAGACATTTTACTAATATACATGCAGTATTCTAGTAACTTACCTATATGAATAGGCCTGCTCATGAAAGAACGTAATAACGACGTTCCCATACATGAGTATTTTCCACTATCCTCTGAAGTAGCACCATTGATAATCAGCATGGGCGTACTGTCTGTTCCTGTTTTGTACTTCACTCCGTTTGATATATCAATGGCCGATTCATTTTTGGTCCACATAATATTTGATAAATTCGAGTTCCATGGTATGAATATATACAGTCCATTCATACATTGCCTAATTGCGATGACTAAATAAATGTTAAAGAAAAGAACCAATCTTGTGTTATCAAAGATGAAGTAACAAAAGAGTAGCACAGTGATAAAAAAAAAGTCAGTCCTTAAAAAAATTCTAAATCTAGCCTTATGTCTCCAGCTCTATAAACAAAAACAGTAAAAATTAAAATTCTACTTCACAGAATTACTCTTTTGTAATTTGATATACTCCATTCATATAATCTCCGTCCTCAACCAACATGTCAAACCAGAAGTCTCTGTCGAGACTGTAGCTCTACTGGTTTGTACTTATCAAAAACCATTGCACTATTTTATGTATCTTTGTGTAGTCTACTTGTGTGCCAACTTATTTTGAAATCAAACTAAAACTGTAGAAGGAGTAGCGTTTTAAAGGAATTTCACAGAAAATTCTATTTTTAGTAACCATGCGAAATCAAAAACCGATGCCATCTATGTATCTTAGTGTAGTCTACTTGTGTGCCAAGTTATATTGAAATCAGACCAAAACTGTAGAAGTAGTAGTGTTTTAAAGGAATTTCACAGAGAATTCTATTTTTAGTAACCATGGCAACACCGTTCATCGAAATCAAAAACCGATGCACTGTTCTATGTATCTTAGTGTAGTCTACTTGTGTGCCAAGTTATATTGAAATCAGACCAAAACTGTAGAAGGAGTAGCGTTTTAAAGAATTTCACAGAAAATTCTATTTTTAGTAACCATGGCAACACCGTTCATCGAAATTAAAAATCGATGCACTATTCTATGTATCTTAGTGTAGTCTACTTGTGTGCCAAGTTATATTGAAATCAGACCAAAACTGTAGAAGGAGTAGTGTTTTAAAGGAATTTCACAGAAAATTCTATTTTTAGTAACCATGGCAACACCGTTCATCGAAATCAAAAACCGATGCACTATTCTATGTATCTTAGTGAAGTCTACTTGTGTGCCAAGTTATATTGAAATCAGACCAAAACTGTAGAAGGAGTAGCGTTTTAAAGGAATTTCACAGAAAATTCTATTTTTAGTAACCATGGCAACACCGTTCATCGAAATTAAAAATCGATGCACTATTCTTTGTATCTTAGTGTAGTCTACTTGTGTGCCAAGTTATATTGAAATCAGACCAAAACTGTAGAAGGAGTAGCGTTTTAAAGGAATTTCACAGAAAATTCTATTTTTAGTAACCATGGCAACACCGTTCATCGAAATCAAAAACCGATGCACTATTCTATGTATCTTAGTGTAGTCTACTTGTGTGCCAAGTTATATTGAAATCAGACCAAAACTGTAGAAGGAGTAGCGTTTTAAAGGAATTTCACAGAAAATTCTATTTTTAGTAACCATGGCAACACCGTTCATCGAAATTAAAAATCGAAGCACTATTCTTTGTATCTTAGTGTAGTCTACTTGTGTGCCAAGTTATATTGAAATCAGACCAAAACTGTAGAAGGAGTAGCGTTTTAAAGGAATTTCACAGAAAATTCTATTTTTAGTAACCATGGCAACACCGTTCATCGAAATCAAAAACCGATGCACTCTTCTATGTGTCTTAGTGTAGTCTACTTGTGTGCCAAGTTATATTGAAATCAGACCAAAACTGTAGAAGGAGAGCGTTTTAAAGGAATTTCACAGAAAATTCTATTTTTAGTAACCATGGCAACACCGTTCATCGAAATTAAAAATCGATGCACTATTCTTTGTATCTTAGTGTAGTCTACTTGTGTGCCAAGTTATATTGAAATCAGACCAAAACTGTAGAAGGAGTAGCGTTTTAAAGGAATTTCACAGAAAATTCTATTTTTAGTAACCATGGCAACACCGTTCATCGAAATTAAAAATCGATGCACTATTCCATGTATCTTAGTGTAGTCTACTTGTGTGCCAAGTTATATTGAAATAAGACTATAATTGTAGGAGGAGTAGCGTTTTGAAAAATTGTTTACAGACAGACAGACAGACAGACGGACGGACGCCGGACGCATTACTATGGCATAAGCTCTTCTGGTCTCTGACCAGTAGAGCTAAAAAGGACAATGGGGGCTAATTAAGCTACTTGCTTGTCCCTGTTTATGATATCTCTGACATTTTCCTGGCTTTTCTTACGATTTTGATATTGTGCATGCCAGGAAAACGTCAGAACCGGCGCCATTACGAAAAATGGGAAATCGCCGCCTCCAACCGGAGGCGGCATTCACGAGTTGATTGTAGATACTTGCGAACCGAATTAAATTTCAATGTCACAAGTTATCAATAGTACAATACTTTTGGTACTCACCAATATCGTTTTTATGGTTCATTTATATAATATAAAATCCGTCGAGAAGATTTCATCATACTCTCGAGATTTGTCTTTATTTCGTGCATTTTAAAATCTTGCAAGCCCTGTAACTAAACGTGGTGTGATATTTTCTTTTCATCAATAATGGTAAGTACTACATGTATGTGTTGTTCTTTTGAAATATTCTGATTTCGGCATAAGTGCGGTTTGCAAGTATTAAAAATGAAATCCAGTGCGAGACGGAGAAATTTCCCGTTTTCCTGGCATGTAAAATATCAAAATCGTAAAAAAAGCCTTGAAAACGTCAGATTTTTCGGACTAATAGGTCATAGAAGGTCACATGTCAAATTTCTAATTTTTACGCTTAATGCAAATTTTTATCAATTTTCTAGTGCAATTTGCTTCAGAAAATATAAATATTAATTTTGTCTGTCTTCCAAGTTTATATTTTTTTAATCAGTAATATCTGAATCCAAAGTGACTATAAAAATCTAAGATAGGCAAGTGTATGCTCTACTTTTCCTGAGTTGAATTAAGGAATCACTGTCTAGTTTTGAAAGTATGCCAGGGCATCAACAATAGTGGGAAACATGGGATAATTTGCATAACGGGCGAAGCCCGTTATGCTAAAATTATCCCATGTTTCCCACTATTGTTGATGTCCCTGGCATACTCTCAAAACTAGACAGTGATTCCTTATATTTCCATTTCATTGTGAAATAAAATTGTAGACTTAGACATTAAAAATATAGACTAATAGATTTAAATTACACGAGGACTTCCATGCCATTTTCAATGGTCCTAGCACACTGACGTCAAACACAAAGGCAGCCGCACGAGATTTACATACATATTTTGCCTCCTTAGCGTCAGACTCAGAGACAGATGCGCACGAGATTTGCATGCGTAACAGGCCTCCTTAGCTGCTGACCTATCGACCTGCCTAAATTACATTCCGGCAGAATTATCAAAAAATAAATTCCCCAAACTTTCAAACAGTTATCACAGAGAAAAAAATTAGAAATGGAAATATATCAATCTTATTTGTGTAAAAAAAACTCACCTAGTTGGCTGCTACTGGGTCCTCTTGTTGCTACACTACTATTCACCTGTGAATGCAACAACGGTAGTTCGGTAGTAGCTGTGAGTTTGAAAGTGCACCGAGTTATTTCCGCAGTTTGTTTTCTTCTCCGGCGCCTTATAAAAAACGCAAAACCGCCAACAGCCATGACTAGAAATATAAAAACTACGACTATGATTACGTAGAGATCGGCCTCTGTGTTCTTCGTCCAGTCGTCAGTTGTATACGTGGAATTTATGTCATAGTGATATGTTGATACGGAATGTGACGTTGAAACACCTTGCGTGACAAATGACGGCTGTATCGTCGTCAAACTGAAATATGAAATGAAGACTTTCTTTGATCAACAAATCTGTTCATGCAATAAAAAAAGAAAGGAAAAGAAGAAAAACAAGATGTGTTTGTGAAACACTATGCGCCCGGCGGCAACAAAGTTCAAAAAATCTATTTTTAGCATATTGGTCACAGTCAAGGTCTCAAGGTCACTGATCTTGGTGTCATTCCAATCACATCATCTCGGGTCTTTCCGTCAGAGGTCGGAAAAACAACCTCAAATGTATTAACATCACCGGATGTTAAAAATTTATACATCTTCCTGTTTATTCAAATACAGGATAGACAGATTTAGAAGTCCCTTTTATCGTATATTCTAAGTAATATCATTAAATTGTATAAAGTTAAATTCCATATTCCACAGATAAAAGGTCTCCATGCATTTATTTCAAAGATCGTGAAAAAAGAGGGTTGTCATGGCGTCTACCATATACATTCGAGGTCGTTTTTCCGCTAGTCGGAAAGGCCCGAGAAGTTGCGGTGTCATTCAAAAGAACTTAATGGGTGGAGTATGCACACCAAATATGAAGTCCCTATTTTCTATTGTTCAAAAGTTATGGCAAAAAGTGTAAAAAGCTATTTTTAGCATATAGGTCACAGACAAGGTCACAAGATCATTGACCTTGTCGACGTTTGAAAGGACTTTATTAGTGGAGTAAGTATACCAAATATGAAGTCCCTATCTCCTATGGTTCAAAAGTTATGACAAACAGTGGAAAAAGCTATTTTAAGCATATAGGTCACAGTCAAGGTCACAAGGTCATTGACCTTGGTGTCATTCGAAAGAACTTAATTGGTGGAGTATGCACACCAAACATGAAGTCCCTATCACCTATTATTCAAAGGTTATGGCAAAAAGTGTAAAAAGCTATTTTTAGCATATAGGTCACAGTCAAGGTCACAAGATCATTGACCTTGTCGACGTTTGAAAGGACTTTATTAGTGGAGTAAGTATACCAAATATGAAGTCCCTATTTCCTATGGTTCAAAAGTTATGACAAACAGTGGAAAAAGCTATTTTTAGCATATATGTCACAGTCAAGGTCACAAGGTCATTGACCTTGATGTCATTTGAAAGGACTTTATTAGTGGAGTATGCATACCAAATATGAAGTCTCTATCTCTTATGGTTCAAAAGTTATGGCGAAGGTTAAAATTGACAACAGACAGAAAGACAAACAGACAAACAGATAAACAGACAAACAGACAGGACAAAAACAATATACGCCCGGGATCTATCGATCCGGGCGCATAAAAATATATGTAGATATAAAAGGAGGACATCTTAAATGTACTTTGTGTAAAAGAGAAGATATAAAGGATTAATTAAAAGGACGTATGCAAATCTTAATATTTACATTCGCTGTGTTTTTCTAGTAAGCCAACTGTGAAATTGATTTGAAAACCATTTTCGTGTATACTCACGCGTAGAAATATACACGGAGAAACGTGCGTTAACGTGACGTCACAATGAGGCTGCAGCGACGTTAATAAAAATGCAACAATATAGGGCAGCGAGAAATACAAATATTCAGCATATTTTAGTTGCTTCCAAACATGCAAAATGTAAATATAAGGAATGTTTTTCAGTTTAGTGTGAATTATTGGTGTGTGAATCACACAAACTTGCACGTAGGCAGACAGCGCGCTTCATGAAATATGCCTACGTGACAAGTCTGTGTGATTCACACACCAATAACTCACACAAAACTTAAAAACATTCCTTAATAAATACTCGTACAAAAAAATAATTAAATACAGGTACCCAGGAATATTGAGGAAACAAGAGGCCCAAGGGCCTTGAATCGCTCTTCTGATAAATTATACAACCTATCACTTGTATTTGAAGCCTCTAACCCTAAGTATTCTAAGACCCAGGTTGCATCACCTGACAAAGTTTGATGATTCTTAGCCAATTAGGACTACTTTTTGGTCTACATTCTTGGAAAACACAAAATGCATCAACTGACAAAGTTTTATAATTTTAAGCCAATAAATACCTAAGATACTTAAATATAGCCATAAAATGTCACCGTGACCTACTTTTTGGTCGACACTCTCTAAAAAAACCCAAGATGCATCAACTGACAAAGTTTGATGATTCTAAGCCAATAAGTACGGGAAAATACCAGGTACTTAAATATAGCCATAAAATGTCAAAAGTAGGTCATTGTGACCTACATTTTGGTTGACATTTTTTAGAGTCCAAAGATGCATCTGCTGACCAAATGTAATTATTCTAAGCCATAAATACCTGAGATATTCAAAAGTACAGGTCACCATGACTACTTTTTGGACGAAATTCTCCGAAAACCCATGATGCATCAACTGACAAAGTATGATGATTCTAAACCAATTAGTACTAGAGATACATAAATATAGCCATAAAATGTCAAAAGAAAGTCAATGTGACCTACTTTTTGGTGAACATTCTCGGAAAACCAAAGATGCATCAACTGACAAAGTTTGATGATTCTAAGCCAATAAGTACCGGAGATACTTAAATATAGCCATAAAATGTCAAAAGTAGGTCACTGTGACCTAATTTTTGGTCATCACTCTCCGAAAACCCAAGGTGCATCAACTGACAAAGTTTTGATGATTCTAAGCCAAAAAGTACCAGAGATACTTAAATATAGCCATAAAATGTCGAAAGTAGGTCACTGTGACCTAATTTTTGGTCATCACTCTCCGAAAACCCAAGATGCATCAACTGACAAAGTTTGATGATTCTAAGCCAATAAGTACCAGAGATACTTAAATATAGCCATAAAATGTCGAAAGTAGGTCACTGTGACCTAATTTTTGGTCATACTCTCCGAAAACCCAAGATGCATCAACTCACAAAGTTTGATGATTCTAAGCCAATAAATACCTAAGATACTTAAATATAGCCATAAAATGTCAAAAGTAGGTCACTGTGACCTACATTTTGGTCGACATTTTTCAGAGTCCCAAGATGCATCGCCTGACCAAGTTTGATGATTGTAGGTTTGAAGGTAAACAAAATATGCCTTTTAAACAATTTGAAAACAAATGCCTGTTAAATTCTAAAAGTAGGTCACAGTGACCTACTTTTTCTTTAATATGTTTTTAAGTCCCAAGATGCAGCAACTTACAAAATTTGATGATTCTAACCCTTTCAGTGCCTGAAATAATGAGATAAAATGTTTTAAAAAGAATAGGTCATAAAGTTCAAAAAGTAGGTCATGGTGACCTACTTTTAAATTTACGTTGTTCAAGGGCCCAAGATGCATCAACTGACTAGGTTTGATAATCATAGGCCTTAAAGTGTCCAAAATATGCCTTCAAATCAATTTGAAAACAAATCCCCGCAAAATTTTAAAAGTAGGTCATCGTGACCTACTTTTGAGTTAACATGATGTGAAGTCCTAAGATGTATCAACTTACAAGATTTGATGATCCCAGTCCTTATATTAAGCAAAATATGGAAATTTTCATTAATTGTAAATTTAGGTCAACTTTAAAGTGACCTTGAGACCACGCCCTTTGCCCCAGGGTCATGCCTTGAACAATTTTTAATCTTCAACATATCCTGATTCTTGTATGTAAGTTTGGTGAAAATCTGCCTGGTGGTTCTGGAGAAGAAGATTTTTTAGCAACCAGTACTTTTGGTTTTGTTTTCCTGATTATCTCCCCTTGTTTTAGGGTCCCAACCCTTATTTTAGTATAAATGGTAGCCCTTGGGCCAAGGATACCCTGTGACAAATTTGACACTGATTGGCCAAGGGGTTCTTGAGTTATGGCCCATATTCTAAAAAGTTAACGCACACCGCACACCGCACGACGCACACCGCACAAATGGCCATAGCATTAGCTCTTTGAGCCTTTGGCTCAGAAGAGCTAAAAAGGACACTATATACCTTGTTGATTCTGTACAGTTTGGATCTGCACGGTAACAACGATGTATGGTATCGATATTTTGGCATTCTTCAACTGAAAAAAGTTCAAATAACGATTAATCCATTTAACCTACTGCATTCTTAGTATTTACTTCAATGGTAAGCTTTAGCTACACATGAGATTTCGTTTCGTAGAGGTGAACGATACTCATACTCATATTATACGCCAACACCTGGTGAGTTGTTCTTGTTGTCTTATTTTATATTTCGTTGAGTATATTGTATTTTATAACTAGTCTGTTCTATTAAAACTCAAAATGATTTCTCTAAGTGTATAGTTTACGTACACTTGTATATTGAATTTCCGGGAAAAGGTTCAGTTGGGCATCCGGAAGTGAAGAGTGTACAGCTGTCTTGATTCAAATATCCAGCTCCTGCCAGCTGCAAACAATTTCCTATAGACAACAAAAAATCAATATATTAAGGATGTTATGAGTATTCGATCAATTTGCTTTATCTGTTTACTTCTTTCATGAGTTTAGAAATCAGAAATGGGGTATTTTGCAATTTTATTGGTAATTGTGCATGACTTTATCCTACAAGTTGAATTGGTGCATGTGCGCCTATTTTATTTCGAGTTGAAGATAGGTGCATTTTGTTTCTTAGTATTTGCAACATTTATATGGGGTTCCATTCAGTTCGAGATAAAGAAATGTTCATTTTTTTTTTACTTGTTGTATATCCATACTACTTATTAAGGAAATATGCATTAGCTGTAATGAAACATATGGAGATAATGAACCGTTTTAAAGATCAAAAGTCCATACAGCAATACAAAATAGGAGCCGAGCAAACCTCCAAAACACAGGTGGGATTAAGTGCCATGAAAGAGTGAGCATCCCCTACCGACCGGTCACATCCGCTGTTTGCTCCTTGACATGATCAGGAAATAACGGGAAAATTCGTCGTTAATTCAAAGTATAAAATTAATATAATGGAGAAACACAGGTTTGAAAAACTTCAGTCAGCATTTGACTCGTTGGTAATTTGTATTTGCTAGCAAGCTCATTGTACAAGTGTATCAACCCTAGAACTTACAAAATAATGACATTATACGAAACTGCTGATATTCTTGTTTTATCAACTAACTTGCATGTCAATAATTTGCCTCGTTTTTAGAAATTGTGCATACGTATATCATGCTCTTGTGCATCAAATCAGTTGAGATATATAGACTCCGTATGCAGGTGGAAAAGGTATATTGCTACATATGCAAGGGAAGTTGAAGATAATTAAAGTCATCACGTTTATCATAGAGCTTGGTTGTAAGAATATAACGCTTTTTTTTCAAGTAAAATATCCAAATATTAAAGAAATGTGTCAGACTCTTTTGTATCTTTTTTTTTTCTCAAGCTCATCAGGATATATCGTATCGACATAAGAATGCAAAAAACCATTGTTAATTGACAATACATCGTCGATATAATTAAATGTCAAGTTGAAGGCCACAGCAAGAGTTTTCTTCTTTTTACTCATAAGATTTTGCACAAATTCTGCTTCATATGAATACAAAAATATCTGCTAATAATGGGGCGCATGGTACCCATTGGAATTCCAAAAGATTGTTGGAATACCTGGTCTCCAAAAACCACATACATATTGTCAATCAGAAACTCATGTATCTTTTTGATGTCAAATTCAGAGTAGTTGTTGGTACAATCAGAACGTTTTAACAAAATAATTTTGCAAAAGACCAATGCCCAGGTAAGTAAAGCGAGTTCCATTTTTATTGGAAAATCAGCTGTCAAAGGTATCAAAAAGAATGTAACTAATTAATTCCCAATTAAACAATCAAAGAACGCATTTAATAAATAAATAATCAAGAAGAAAAAAAAATCGTACTATAAAATGTGTATCCTTCTACGTTTGATAGTAGAGCCACTGGTCTAAAACATTCTATGCATGTGGTATTTTAGTGGCGTTTACAACTGATTGATAAACGCCAGGGTTTTCTTAATAATATTCAATGGATGTAAATATTATTAAATGAAATATTATCCTCTGCAAAACATTTAAAGCTCCAAACAAGAGTTATAAAAAGATTTTCCGGTCTCAACCGATAGTTTTTGTAATACTGGAATCTTGTATTTTCCATCTATGTACGTTTATTTTTAGGGTGTATTTCAGATGTTTTCCTTTTCCTGTTGCATAAAATGATTACATTGTATCAATGTCGACAGACTCTATCTGATTAGTATCGCTACCACTTTCTTTTTTTTTTTTTTTACCAGTATATATAAGCAGCAATTGGTTTGAATGAAAACATGGATCCAAAATGCTACTTTTTTAATAAAAATAATTTTCGACTTCAAATTTTACTTTTCCAGGGGCCTGTTTTACAACGTAACTTTTTACTTGGACCAAACACTAAAGCTGGTTGTCAGAAATATAACTTTACATGTATGTCCAATGTTTTGTTTTGAACATATTTTATTGACGAAATGTCAAAGGGATTGGACACAAGTTCCAAAATTCCTGAATAATTTTTTGAACAATACCAAATTTTTTTTCTCATTTTCCTGCGAAGATAAGGAATCATCTCCCCATAGCAATGAATGCACATTAATCATTTTTACATTATGAGTTACAAGTAATGCATTCATCATTAGGCGTCTAGGTTCAAAATATTTTCTACAAACAAAGAAACAATGATGACTATCCTCTTTCATACCACAAGAACAATTTGGATTACTTATGATTTTACATCTATACAGATCATTATTTAAAATACAATTGTGTCTTAATTTGGTATGTTAAATGTTAAGATACCTTCTGGCACATGAAAAATACTTGGGAGGCTTATCATTATTATTACTCAATTTTCTTTTAAAAATTCCTATTGAGGTCATTTCCCTTGTTTCGTTGCTCAGTGAATTCCATTTGCGAACAGTATCGGGGACAAATGATTTGTTCTATAATTCCAGCCTGCATTTAGGTAGAGAATAATCAAATGAATTTCAAGAATTATAATTTGAAATAGTTTCTAAACATCGGTACAATGTTTTTAGGTAATCAGGAACTAGGTTGTTGTGGATTTTAAACATTGTTAAAAGTTTGGCTATGTCTCTTCTTATTACACATTGTTACAAGAGGTTCCCAACCTATTTCAATATACAACGAATTTCATGATGCTAATACTGAAAGACCAGTCCATTGTGCTACTGGATTTAAGATTAGAAGTGAACTTACCACTTTCGAAAAGCGAAGGTTCCCGATCATAGCAGAACTCTACAAGGGACGACTTCTGGTAGTTAGGAATGCAGTAGTAAAAGTTCGTGTTTGTACAGTTTATTCTCGCAGCCGATTCTTCTATAGATGTCAGATTCTCCGGACAATTAAGAACGTTATACACAGGGAATCTGTACATATTTATCCCTCGCTACTAACCATAGATATCACGTTTACTTTTTTTCATAGTTTCCATCGCAAGGGCAGTGAGTGGGCGAGGATTTATGTCAACGTTTTCACGAAACATCTACTTACACGCGAATTTTACGGATCTAGTTTCGTTTTCTGCAAAAGAGATAGATTTATAAATAACTTTTAAAATTCCCTGTTTTATTTTTCACATTCTGGTTTGTTTATACGGTGTGGTCTATTTTAAGGTCGACGACATTTGTACATAATACGCAAACAACACTAGAAGCAAGTACGTGTGTTTTAATAAATACGATCGTGCACTATTAAAACTACATTTAATCATACCCAGGAGGGCTTGAACTATAAATTATCCGTGTTCAATCGATCAAGGATGTACGACGATTTACTTTATTCCTAGTTGCAATTAAGCAGCCCTCTCCATTTCTTTTAATCTGATATTTTTGGGAGACGGCTACACCCCCCCCCCCCAAAATAAAATAGAGGGATTGCGCTACATTATTGCAGCTATTTTAATCTGAGGTCAAAAGGTACATTCTTTTGATTAAATAGGAAATCCGTTATCTATGTCCAAGCGGTTAAACCTGCACGGATCAGGAATTTATTTCCTATTTAATCAAAAGCATTCTCTGTAAACTGAGGCTCATCAGTGGTATGCACATTTGTACTTTTTTTTTTAATTGCAAAAGTACCATGATTTCACAATTCTTAGCAAAGTCAAAACTGAATTCAGCCAAAATTCCTTGGTTTATTCAATAAAACAATATGCTACAAATAAATACAATAGTTGTATTCCAAATCATCAAACTTTTTCAATGCAATCAAATTATGCAAGAGCACTTTTTATAGAAAAGCTATCCAGATCAATATATTGTGAAAGTCCTAAGGATGAAGGTCCCCCTTTCTAGTCATTATTTCTGTATGATTGACTATGTGCTTGGCAATTAAATGAAAGCCATATTTTGTATCTTCAGTGAATGGATCACCCATTATGCATTGAGAACACTTATTCTGTAAAGGCTGTACATGTTATATAAATGTTCTTGCTTCTCCTTTCATTCAATAAACTTTCCTATTCTACTGAACAATCTGATATGAAATTGAATCAGGACGTCTTAGATCATTTGCGTTTAAAGCAACTTTTAATATCGTTTAACAATTTCTTTATACAAAGCACATATATGTCAAAACAAAGGTACACTTTTAACAGTTTTTCCCTAAAACACAACACATTCTCCATAGATACTTTAAAATGCATCTCCCTCAGAAACTGAGATTCATGTATTTGCACAGATTTGAACACTGATGTACCGCTAGTCTCACTGGTAAAAATAGTTCACCACCACAAATGTAGAAACATAGTGTTTATCAAGAGAGTAGCTCTTCATCTCTCTTTCTTTGCTCCTATAATAAATTATGAAAAGAATAGGAATTGAAGTGAATTCTATAACCATATTCTCTGTCCAATTTTTACCAAATGTAATACTGGTATATTTGAATTTTCACATATCAAGTAATACATGTAGGATTCTTGTTTTTGAAAAGATTTTGAAAACAAAAATATTTTCACATGTACTTTTATTGGCTTTGCCGACCTTTTATATTGCCTATTTAGGAAACATCTAAATCTAAGCCAAACAAAGATATTGAATCTTTTAAAATTAAAGCTCATCAAGTCATTCTAGAGAAATTAAACTAGAAATCTTCAGTTGTACAAAACTATTTTAATGCTTACTTCACTTATTTTCTTTCTCTTCTTAGTCTGAATTTCCTCATCCTCATCCAGCATTTCCTGTAGTTTTCTTTTATACCTGAAAGATCGAAAAATAAAGCATAATTTGTCCATCTTCTTTTTTCCTGTTTCTGATAATGAGTTCCAATGAACATTTATAATGTTACATTCAAAAACGTGTAGGAAACTATTCACAAAAAATCAAGTTAGTTAAGACTTCACCCTAATAATGTTGCAAATTATACAGTATTAGAGACAGAAAGCTAACTAATTACAGTGCGACTCCTCAATGGTTATTTGTTCTGTCCTTTTTCCTGCTTCCCAAGGATTTTGTGTTCAGTTAAATTTTACTCACCCTACACAATATTTCTGTATTTAGATACCTACACTTCACTCTCCCTATACAATATCATTATTTCTGGATCTCTTCCTATACAATATCATTATTTCTGGATAATTGCCTTGATTTCATTCCCTCCGTACAATGTTTCTATTTTGAGATACTTTCATTTCACTGTCTAATCTATTTTAGGATACTTACACTTCACTGTCCCTATATAAATACCATATAGGTAGATGTTTTAGCATTGATTTAATTTTGGCATTATAAGCAAAGGTGCGAGATCGCTAAAATTGAATATTGCTAAAAAGTAATTGTGTTTTATTTGTAACAGCTTCTTTAATGAGCATTTCAAAATCGCTAAAATTACATCTTGCTAAGAATAAAATACCAGTTTTTAGGAAAAAACCGCAAAATTTGCGTCTCGCTAAAATTTCCACCTATCATGCTTAAACAGTATTATTTCTGGGATACACTTCATTCTCTCGGTGCAATGTTTCTATTTGGGGACACTTAAAGGTCCCTCTCCCTATACAATAACAGATACTTACACTTCACTTTCTGGGTTATTTTCCTGGTTGCGACACTGGTCCAGTTTCCTCTGTAGTTGAGCCATTTGTTCCCGCGGTATCTGTTCCTGAGACTTCACCATGTGTCTTAGCTCTGCAAAATTAAACCAATTAAATTAATTGTTCCAAAAATTACATTGATTCAATGCCTGTAATATCAAAGCCTGCAAGTCTACTGATGTATCACCAAGATCACAGGTCACACTTATTAAAGTTTTTGGGATTTTTGAAAAATATTTTCAATTAAGGTTACGCTCTTAACAGGATGATATATTTTTCACTCAGTTTTTGACTCAAAATTGAATTCCCCCTGGATGAGACATAAGTCCATCATACATGTAGACATATTCCCCAGTAGTTTTTTAAAAGCTACACTCTGTACAGAACATGTAGTGCTACTTACTTTTGATATGAACCTGTAGTTCTTTGAAATATTCATTTTATACAGACATGTACTTACTTTTGATCTGTACCTGTAGTTTCTTAATTTCTTCAGATGACATGCCTTTCAGCAGTGTTTCAGTGACGTACCTTATAATAAAAATAACATACAAGACAGACCTAATAAAACTTGGTACATGTACTTATAGCATTGCTAAATTTAAACAACAAAATCCTTTCTTTGATGGTTAGTTTTGGAATTAATGTTGCAGTTTTTGTAGAAAAAATGCATAAATAATTTTTTTTCTGCAATATCTGCACCGTAAATTTCCCACACTAACAAAGAAAGGAAGACATACTTACTGTTCATAAATGCAAGTACAAGAGAAAGAGAATCCTCATTATGAAAAAATAACACAAGACTGACCTCATAGAACTTGGTACATGTACTATTAGCAATGCATAAATTTAAACAATAAAATACTTTTATGGGAATTACTGTTGCAGCTGTTTTTTTTTTCTGTGACTGCTGCAACATAAATTCCCATATTAACAAAGATAGGAAGATAGATTTCTGTTCATATACAAATTCTAATCTATTATGGTAAGATTCAGCAGATTATTATTATTATTGAATATTGTTTAACGTCCCTCTCCAGAATATTTCACTGATACGGAGACGTCACCATTGCCGGTGAAGGGCTGCAAATTTAGGGCTATGCACGGCACTTACGGCCTTTGAGCAGGGAGGGATCTTTATCGTGCCACACCTGCTGTGACACGGGGGCTCGGTTTAAAAGGACCGCCCCATTTAGTCGCCTTTTACGACAAGCAAGGGGGTACTGAGGACCTATTCTAACCCAGATCCCCACGGGGCGATTCAGCAGATTAAACATTAGTATTATTGATAAGCTAAATTTTATTATTCTATTTTTATACCCTGAGCTAATCAAAAAAAAAAAAAAGAACAGAGTTTATTTATGACTAAACATATGTTACATAAATTACAATTACTTCCCTTGGACTGTCACATATATCAAAATATCCTGGCCCAGTGGGCTCCTGATAAACTTAAATTTGATATTGTTTATTTCATTTAAGTGCCAAAAAACTTTATTCCTTGATCAATTGTGTTTTCACCTAGATAAATGATGAAAACCTTAAAACTTAGTTATGCCAAAGAGTACATAGCCAATCATACTCATATAACATTTAGTTTAGATACAGAGTTATCCATCTTGACTCAGGGTTCTTAAATTGACTTCACAAAACAACATACATGTATCTACTTTTGACCAGAGCTGTGGAAAACTGCCGGTCATGCCGGCAAGACCCGCAAAAAATGCCTGTGACCGGTAAAATTGCTATCGATGTCGGTCCAAATGACCGACCTCTTTCTTTGTTAAAGGTTTTTGAATTTCCATTTTGATTTAGGCCTATCATCGGCACACTTCCCAGCTTAGTTACCGTACCTTATAAACGATTGCGCAATACTTTTTCCTTTGCACGAGATCGAGGCTATAGGAAATGAAAGCGAAACCAGCATCGTCTCGCATGATCTTTTAGATTTACAAATGGGACAGAATTAGGTAAAAACATAAAAAAAAAGATAAGACATGCTAAATAGCTGGGTATGTAAAACATTTTGACAGAAAAAATTCAAACACAGTTGAGTAAAGCGGTAAACCTATAGTACTTCCGTCGTTCCGACTGTCCCAGATTTCGTTTTTTTCATCGATCATGTTCATGATGTTGGTATCTTTATTATCGATGCACAGAGTTTCTTAGACTCATTTTCGAGGCAAAATACAATTCCCAGATGCATTAATGTTTTTAAAAAATTACGTTTAATATGCACAATTATCATTGTTATCTGCCAAAAAGTTATGAAATCTAGTATTGTTTTAAATGCAAAAAAACGAAAACGGAGGAGGATGGACCTGGAAATGGAGACTTTTTAAAAATGTTTTATTATGTAAAGTGTACTTGAGAAAATGAATGTAATGTTTTTCTTTATAATTTTGCAACTAACTATTTCGGACCGGCAAAAATCACTTCAGACCGGCAAATTTTGTCTTCTTGCCGGTCCGAATGACTGGCTAT